CACACACACACACACACACACACACACACATATATATATATATGATCCCTTTTAAAACAACCAACATGTAATATGCTTATTCTCTAAAAGTCAGCTCATAAGATGATTTAAGGTTAGAAGTCTATTTGGAAGAATTATGATAACCATATTGATACAGTAAGACTTCAGTAATTCTTCTAAACATAAACCTGAAGCTAAAGCTTTAATTTAAATTATATAATTTCCAATGTATGAGATTTTTAGCAGGCTACACTGTTTAGTTTGCAAGTCATTTCAAATGGTTCATACAATTTTTTGTGCATCAAGGGGAAAAAGCACCAAGGATAGTATTTTTTTTTCCATATTAGATGAAATTACAACAATGATCTCAATTTTTCTTCCAAATCTAATCATTTGTAAGCAGCATTTAGTACAAACGCTCAATTGTGGAGTTTTCTTGGTGAGATCAACAATAACTGGACATAAGAATGGAACACTAGCAACAGATGCTCTACATAATACCTGCCAACAAGTCAGGTTAACATTGACAGCTCCCATTTTTTTAATCCGAGTTCTTAGTTCTAAAGAAAATCTCTGAATAGTATGTATGAGATTTATAAACTTATCAGCTATATCTGTTCAATAAAAAGAAACTCCAAAGGTACCTTCCTTCCTAATAGAGAAAGCAAAATTTTTCTTGATGAACAAAGTACCTCATATGGTAAAGAAATATATAAAGAAAATATTTTCTACAAATCAAATTGTAAATTCATGTGTATAAAGGTATAGTTCTCTAAACTGTATTTATAATATTTTAAATAATTTGCAATAAAAAATTCAAAGCACAACTGAAAAAATAATTCATGTTCTATATAACCCAGTTAATAAATACTGCAGCATATTGCAATAAGAATAAAACAATTGCTAATGTAAATGGTTAATGAGATCTCTTTGGAAATATGCTTTAAAAAAAGTCATCAGCATGTGTTCCTGCCTGTCAAATTTTACTGAGTACAGTCTTGTGGAAATGTAATCATGTACTGCAGGGCACCTGACAGGACTCTGTACTCTGGTACAGGTCAGCTGTGTGTTTATGTCCTTTGTCTTACACAGGCACATGGTAATCATCACATTAACAATGACAGGCAGTTGTCATAAATTCTGTTACAGACATTATGCTGATAGAAATTATTTTGAATATTTCCAGGTCATGATGAAGCTCCTCACCTGAATATAAACAAAGAATCCTATAGATCTGAAAGTGTTTTAAAATGAGTACAGAGATGCATCATGTAAAACAAATTACTTGCTTTGACAAGCTTCAGTCAAGGTTTATACATCTTTTGCTATTGAAAAAGTCATTTATCTAAAGATAAACTCCAGTCTTTGATACAATTTCATTTCTTTTTCCCAGTGCTTTTTTTGTGTTCATGTCCTTCAGCTTTGCTGGTTATACTCTTTTTCCGAGATGAGGTACCAGGAGCAACTGCAGCAGAAGGTCCACTGATAGCTAGACCGAAAAAGAAAAAGGAGAAAGAAAAGAAAAATTACTTCCAGTACGTACATAAGCCATCTAAGTGAAAATAATACTGCTGAGTGATGGAACATTTCTGTTATAATTGCAATGTAAACAAAATGTAAACATTCATATAGTATTTTAGGCTTCTACTTTTTAGAAGACAGTGCAAATATATACAAGCAATAACAATAGGCTGTGTTCACAAAATAAAATCTTAGTTCAATCTACATTCTTCATGGGTAATACTCTTTCCATCACTTTCAAATACTATTCACTGTGCTAATCTCGTTTGTACACATGGCTAGGTCTTTTCTCTTGGCTCACACTACAGATATCCAGCTACTCATCAGAATCGTGTCTGCTGGTAGTGGAAATAGGAAATATAAACAGAATATGCTTAAAACAGTATTTGTCATGTTCCCTAAAGGCATCACTTCTTTATACATCTTCTATCTCATCAATATTTTATAGATCTAGCAGCACTCTCGACTTAGGACATCTTATGTATCTGAACCAATGCCAAAGCTATGCCTAATCAGCAAGCTATTCTAAGTACAGTTGGATTTTTACTTTAAGCCCTTGTCAGATTAATATGTCTTCATATAACAAGCATACAATCTTCCCCAAATAGGAAGAAAAACTAGAACACTGGTGTCTGCAGACACCAAAGAGAGACAAAATTAGGTAGCTGTGAGAGAAGAATCAAGCTTTGTAAGAAGAGAGCAACATGGGTGATGCTCTGCCAGTCCGTTTTAATAGCTTTTAGCCTAAAAGAGCAAGCCTCAATATCCATCACATAAAACTGCTAAAGCTCCAATACAGAACCCAGTCTTACTAAACTGAAGAAGCAGATGACAAATATTGGAACAATTATAGCTCATAGAAGGGGAGAGACTATAATTCTGTGTATGAGCTACGATGGCATGAATAGAGAAAGCCCCAAGCAGCCCAGATGAGACAACAAGATGTGAACAGAATTGTGAGCTGTCAGCCACTTCATGGGACATAATTTTACAATCTAAATTCATCCAACTTTATCCTTCACTTTAAAACTAAAACAATATTCTTTAGAGAAGGAAAGGTAAATGAAACCATTACTTTAGGAGGCATAAAATGAACTACAAGTGAGCCTCCCTGCCCCCAGCCCATCTCTCCTCCTAGCATGGGCACTGGTCCATTTCTTCCCTTGGCAAACCAGACCTCTGGATTACCCTCTTGGCCCAGACTCCCTTTGCATGCCTGAGACAGGCCCTCATCTCTGGCCAGCCCAGCCCCCAACTTCCTGAGGCCAGCACCTTTCCTGAGTAAGTTCGACCCCACCCACTGTGCCTTGACTCCCACAACCTCATTCCCCCTCCCAGCTCCCCCACCCTATCTCTCCTCCTGGCATGCGCACTGGCTGATTTCTTCTCTTGGCACCCCAACCTATGGACTTCCCTTTTAGCCCAGGCTCCCCACTGCTTCCTGATCCTTTGCACACAGACCAACCCAATTCCTCAGTCTATTCCCCTGGAGCCCTTGGGGCCTGTTCCCTCCCCACCTTGCCTTTGTATACCTGAGAACAGCCTTCATCCCTGGCTGTCCCACCTCAACCTGGATTCCTGAGACCATCCTCCTTCCCTGCTTGCTCTGGAGTCCTGAGACCAGTTTCCTTCCCTACTGCCTGAGAGTCCTGAATCCTACCTCTACCTAGAAATCCTCCCAAATTGTACTGTTCCTGCTGATTAGAGGGATCCAGACCTTAGAAGAAAGCCTGAGAGCATCTGATTCTCATCCAACTTGGGCCTCTGTGGGAACTCCTGAGCAGGACAAAAGCCATCTGACCCCTCCAACACAAAATCAAAACAAAGAATCTGAAGCCTAGACCAACCAGCTTTTCATGCCCAACAAGTAAACAACAAAGGCACATAAAGTTTACAAAAAGAAGCAGACCTAAACTCAACAAAGGAAGGCTTAAGTCTCACACAAGAATCAGAAACTACAAAAGAAATCCACATGTCAAAGTCAGCAAAAAAGTAATAACATGAAAAACCTAAATAATATATCCACACCAAGTACCAAAAGTCCTGTAGACGAGTACAAGGAGAACCCCCTAAAGATAACACAGGACATGGAACTCAAAAGAACAATTATAAACATGATAAAGGAATTCAGTGAATTTAAAGAACACACAAAGAAATCAAAGAACTAAAAGATAGGGATAAATTTCTGAATGAATTCAGAAGAGTTAGAAATATTGAAGAATACTCAGGCTGAAATGAAGAAGTAAATGAAACACTCAGTAAGCCAATTAGAAATGACAGGAGAAAGCCTCACCAATAGGATGAATGAAATGGAAAACAGAATATCAAGACTGGGAGATAAAAGTGGACAAATTAGACCACACAAGCAAAGATTATGAAAACTTTAATATGCAGAAATTGTGTGACACCATAAAAAGACCAAACATATGAATCATGGGCATACAGGAAGGAGAAGAATTCCAAGATAATGGTATGGACCAGATTTTCAACAGGACTGTAGAAGAAAATTTCCCAAAATTAAAGAAACACATGCCCATACAAATACAAGAAGCATATAGAACACCAAATAGGACCAGTCTTGATACTCTCCATGGAAGATAGGGATGAAACAGCCCGTGTATTTGATAGAGGTTCAAGAAGGGAAATGGAAAGAAATGGATAGGAGTAAAGCCTTGAAGAGAAAACAGCAGAGAGTGTTCTAGACATGATGAAAGACAGCAATTCCCAGACTCAGGGTGTTTTCATCCCATAAAAGGAAAAGGAACCAACACAAACTTTAAAGCATACAGAAGGGGCTAGAGAGATGGCTCAGTGGATAAATACTTGACTATGCAAACTTGAGGCCTGAACTCAGATCCCCAAAACCCACATAAAAGCCAAGCAGATGTGGGGCCAGGACTGTCTATAACCCCAGCATCAAGAGCAGAGGTGGAAATGAACAAGAATGCATTACACCAAGAACACGAACAGAAATTAAAATGACAGGAGTCGATACACATCTTTCATTAATAACTTTAAATACCAATGGACTGAACACCCCAGTCAAAAGACACAGAATAGTTGAATGGATTAAGAAACAAAACCCATCTTTTTGTTGTCTGCAAGAAACCCAACTAAATTTCATGGACAGGCACTACTTTAAGGTGAAAGGACGGAAAAAAATATTCCAAGCAAATGGTACTAAGAAAAAAGCAGGAGTTGCAATTCTAATATCTAGCAAAATAGACTTCAAACTAAAACTAATCAGAAGAGATAAATACAGCCATTTCATTCCGATCAAAAGAACAACTGACCATGAAGGTGTTACAATCATGAACATATATTCACCAAACTCTGGTGCACCCAACTTCATAAAAACAGTACTACAGGACTTTAAGACCCAGATTAATCCCAACTCATTAATGGTAGGGGACTTCACTACCCCATTGTCTCCATTAAATAGGTCAACAGGACAAACATGGTCACAGGCCAGTCCAATGAAGGCAATTCCCAATTGAGGCTCCCTTAAGCCAGGTGTGTCAAGTTAACACTAAAGCTATCCAACACACCTCCTGACTAAAAAAAAGCCTAGGACCAGATGGATTTACAGCAGAATTCCACCAGACATTTAAAGAAGAATCTATATCCAATACTACTTAATTTATTCAAGAGGATAGAAATGGCAGGAGAACTTCCAAATTCCTTCTATGAAGCCAGCATCACTTTAATACCAAGACCAGGTAAAGATACAACCAAAAAAGAAAACTAGAGACCAAAATCCTTATAAACATGGATGCACAAATTCTCAGCAAAATACTTGCAAACCGCATACAGACACATATCAAAAGGATCATCCACCATGATCAAGTCAGTCTTTTTCCAGAGGTACAGGGATGGTTCAATATACATAAGTCAATAAATGTCACAAATCATAAAAATGGACTCAAAGACATGAACCACATGGTCATCTCAATACATGCAGAGAAAGCCTTTGACAAAATTCAACATGCATTTATGTTCAAAATCCTAGAGGGAATTGGACTGGAGGGAACATACGTCAACATAATTAAAGCCATATATAACACACCCACAGCCAACATCATTCTAAATGGAGAAAAACTGGAAGCATTCCAATTGAAATCAGGAACCAGACAAGGCTGCCCGCTATTTCCCCACCTTTTTAACATAGTGGTGGAAACTCTTGCAAGAGCAATAAGACAAGAGAAGTAAATTAAAGGAGTAATAATTGGAAAAGAAAAGATCAAATTATACCTTTTGGCAGAGCGTATATTATATCTAAGAGATGCCAAAAATTCCACCAGAAAACTAGAAATGATTAACACTTTCAATAAAGTGGCAAGTTACAAAATCAGTCTACAAAAGTCTGTAGCCTTTCTATACACCAATAACAAGCAATCAGAGAAAGAGCACAAAAGCCTCCCTTTCACAATAGCCTCAAAAAAATTAAATATTTCAGAATAAACCTGACCAAAGACATTAAAGAGCTCTACAATGAAAATTTTAAATCTTTAAAGAAAGAGATTGAGGAAGACACCAGAAGATGGAAGGGCTTCCGATGTTGATGAATGGAAGACTTAATATTGTGAAAATGACCATCCTACCAAAAGCCATTTATAGATTCAATGCAATGCCAATCAAAATCCCCATGACATTCTTCACAGAATGGGAAAAAACTTCCTAAGACTCATATGGAAGCACAAAAGGCCTTGGATAGCCAAAGGAACCCTGAGCAATAAGAGAAATGTTTGGGGGATTACTATACCAGACTTTAGAATATATTACAGAGCTATGGTCATAAAAACAACATGGTACTGGCACAAAAATAGACTGTGGATCAATGGAACAAAATTCAAGACCCAAATATGAGTACATGCAATTTCAGCCACCTGATATTTGACAAATGGCCAGGAACATTCACTGGAGGAAAGAGAGCATGTTCAGCAAATAGTGCTGGCAAAACTAGATCTC